AGGTCACCCTTCCTACCTACCCGCTCATGTTAGGAGCACGTGACGAGGCAGCTGAATTTGATGAGATGGATTCCTCAACATCTGCAGAGATGTTTAATGATGATCCAAGGTTTGTTTTCAGTAAGCACTTCTATTTTTGCTAGGCTGAGGAGAGCCCAAAATGTTTTCAAGATAACGTGAAACCAGAAGCATACAACCCCGAAGCATATAACTTTGTCGCAATGCTGGGGTTTTTTAGGGAACCAATCAAAATTTACTTCCTAATATGGAATTACTGATAAGCGAGATTGTCGCGCGAGTGCTCTATAGGAAAACTTGTATCGCGATGTAAATGATGCGGTGCAAAAAGCATTTACTGTTTTACGAGGTAATATTTGACAAAACACGGAATTCACTACATGTATTAATCCCCAAATGACTAGGACTAAGTTAGTTCCTCCTAACAAGACAAAGTCGACTATCAATGACATGACCGTAAGAGAAGCGCTTTCTTAAAGTTTATAATTTTTTTTACTTCAGAAACTGTTTTTGCGTGACCATTAGCGCAAATAACCTTTACAAAATCACCTGCCATCTATCTAGAATAACAAGTAACACATATTTTCAAATAAACTTCACTAGTTGCTGAACTCGAAAGTAAAAATTGTGCAAAATTCGTTGCCACCGTCGCAGAAGTGATGCGTGTAATAAGATCAAAGAATGAAGCGCAAGTTAAGAAGACTTCAGATGCCGGCGATCATGTTTTCAACTAATGCAAGACTAATGTTGTGAATGAACAAACAAAAAACAATAAACAGACAAATTGTTTCTTGAAAATGTTTATTCGAAAACCCACAAGTGTACCGTTAAAAGCAATTCACGTAACACTGACTGGATCGTGAATCAGCTCCCACAAGTAAACTCGGCTGAGCACATGGCAAAAATCAACACTAATATTATCTGTATAAGATCGGGCACATTTCCCAATTTTTCTTGAAAACTCTATCAAATATATATAAAACGTCTATTTATAAATACATGAACTTCCTTTCAATAACGTCCTTTCCTTGAGCATAACGTGTAAAATGTAAGTTTACCTGAAAATTATTTAAAAAGGTTAATGACTTGGTCGCAGTTCAGAAAAAAACAAGCGCTCCGCCGTGAAAGAAACAAGGTCGAAGTGCTGGAAGGTAAATTTCGCAGCTTAAAACTTTTCTTTGTCCCCAAAAATAAAAAAACGTTTACATGTTACACATCTAATCAAAACTGCCATACATACATGTATACATTCGCGCACTGCTCTGAATGAGAATTAAAAAATGTACCCTCACAAAAAAAAAAAAGATTCCATTCCGACTTCGTGGGCGCCTTGTACAACGCTTCTGCAAAGCTTGCCATATCACCATGCTGGTTTTGCTGAATGAGAACAGAAGCCGCAGAGAACTGGTTTGAGGATGATCTTTGACGGTCAAACCACAGGTGGCCCAAACGTAATATGAGAGTTTGTATGGAAAATACCGGTAAAGAGTTTGTATGGGCAATAAAGAGTTTGTATGGGAAATGAAACTTAGATGAAATAAACGAAATAAAGCGGTAAAAGTTATCACTAAAGTGTAAATATTGTTTCCTGGTGTCGTTGTCTTTGTTTTTACGAAGTTTCAGCGCGATTTTAGTACTTTTACATCGTTTGACCTGACAGTGTAATAAAAAGAGTCTCTTATTACCACCAACTGAAAATTCAACCCAGTATTATTCATTTAAAAACCCCTCTGTAAATTGCTTGTAGTTAAGTTGGCATCCTTATTTAAGATAGACATTAATCGAAGGTTGTACTTTTGATTCCATCTGCACACTTTAAACACCAATGCCAAAGCCAGCATTACTTCGGTAAAGTAATGCTCAGCACCTTTAGGATTTCATTCGTAAATTCAAAAAGTGCTCCGAAAAGTACTGAATTTTCAACTTTCTTATTTTATCCATAAACTTAAAACTTAGATCCACCTTGTGCAGCAAAATAAATATAAACAACATCACCAAATAGTGACTGCTTAGTGGCTCTCACTTTAACGCTGGCACATGAGAATTTTACCTATAAACTCACCTCGTACAGAATAGTAAAAAGTAACACAGACTCAAAGTTTGTGCCAAACTTCATAATCGAAGCTTCGATTCAGAACGATGTAGGGCTTAACTTGTATGTCTCATGTCAATGACTGACAGTTTTTTCTGGTATTTGTGGTTTATCTCAGATTTGTTGTGAATCGACAGGCCAACAAACTTTGGTTTCGTGTGAAGGTTATGCCTAAAAAACCTTTAGGCGATGTTAAGGTATGTTTGATTTCATATGCAGAATAGATTTTTTGTTTGGCCATTTTCCATTCGTCAATTCTTGTTTTTAGACGTGTTACCCATAACACCTTGTAGTGCATATACGTAGTATATCATACATTAGTAACATTCAACTGGTGGTCTATTATCAATGCTGCGTCCTGATTGGTTGAACTGCTACTAGGCTATATGTTATAGCGCACTAGTAGCGAAAAGCGCCGGCTTTGTGGCGGCAAAAAACGAAAAGTCTAGCTTTAACTAGCTAAAGTTGTTTTGTCTCGATATTTTTTTACCAACTAGTTGGATTTTACTAAAACAATTATTCCTCTCGCCCTCATGGCTTCTGAGTTAATAGCCCATGTGGCCGAAGGCCTCATGGGCTATTGACTCAGAGCCCATTCGGGCTCGAGGAATAATTGTTAAATGTATTCTGTTGTGTTGTCTTTCTGTCTCATTTCTGCCTCAGTCTCTTCTCCTTACTGTAAGGATCAGTTTATCGTTTTTGCTAGTCTTCGAAGATATATTTGGTCTCATATAGATCTAATAAAGATCCGGCACTTCTCACTGGTTTGTCGCTGTGTTTGAATCAGTCAAATTTATTTAACCGCGTAACACCTAGTGCCACAAAAGTGTACGTTCCTTCTTTTGAGCTTTTGAATACGAAATACACCCCTTGAAGGAAACTGCCTTAACAATTTTGTCACCTATTTGAGCGTCTTTAGGCACATTTGACAGTGAATTCCAGTCATACTGTTCTCAGTAGCCTCCGATATCAGGTTCTTGACGTTTTGTGTTTATTATTGCAGTTCTCGATGATTATGCAGTATGACTACAAGCATACAGCCACAGCTTTGGTTCGAGGCAGCCAGGAATCTGAGGAGCAGATTGTGACGCTGAAGCATATAATGCATATCAATCTTGGTCCCGTACAAAGTGAAGCTTAAACATTTATAAGGACCAGGGGAT